CCTACATCTTTTTCCACTTCATGTTTTCTGGAACATGTTTTGAAGCACAATTCCTTTTCTGACTTGCTGAACAATTGAATCTGAGTTATTTGGAGTGCAAGTTTTGTATTTAGCAAACATAGAAAATATATGTAATATGTCAGCACTGAACAACACACAAGTATAAAGCTTTCCCAGCTCGCCTGTGCAGCAGCTATCAGCTTTCCATGTCTTTGCATGCACCGGGGAACTAAAGAGTGTATTCAAGTCACAATGACCAAAATTGGAAAAAAAGGCAGAAAGGAACTGGGAGTAAAAAAAAAAAAAAAAAAAAAAAAAAAATTGGGGACCCCCCTAAAACCCCCCCCCGTTTTAAAACCTTTTGAAATCATCTGCGAGTCCACTATCAACCCCACCCAGTTTACAAGCCTTTGAGAAAAATGAGCAATTCCAACTGAAATGATGCCTAGGTATATAAATGCCTTTTTGGAGCTCTCTCTGAAGTATCATAATAACCCACATTTCCAGTTGCAAAATTATGTTCAATCTGGCCTTTAATTTTTTGTAGACAACAAACGGGGGGTTGTTGTGTGATATCTCATAATATACCTATTTTAATGACTGGTGAAAATAGACTAAGAAACATGGAACTAATATTTTACATGACAGCACATCAAAAGTACAGTGAAACATAGCCAGAGTCGCAAAACCAAGCACTGAAATGATAAAGTTTCCAGTGCAGCTTTAACTTGACTTTCTTTAGTTTATAATGTACTCTTCAAACAAAAGATCGCATTAACTTATTCTCCTCTGACTTTGTGCTATTCAGCAAACAAGCATGCACAGTTTTCCTTCTCTTCATTAGCTGCTCTCCTCATTCAGGAAGCTAACACAGTCTGCTTTTCCAGAACCCCAAAATTTTCCCAGTTTCCCTTTAAGCTTTTGGAATGGAAGTGTCCTGTGGGGGACACTTTTATTCATCTCCAGATCTGTACCTATTCACATCTACACTGTGGTGTCTGTTCTCATTCTCCTTACTCTTACTTATTGCTCCATTGTACCCTCTCCCTCCCAGATGTTCATGCCTTCCAGTCCTCAAGATCCTGCCCTTCAATTTTCCTATTTAGCTCTTCCATGTCCTGAGGAAACTTAAGAGTCAATACAGAGCTGGCTAGTAATTTGAAGTTAAGGTGACTAAACTCAAAATTTTCATCCAGCAAGCTCTTTTTCAGTTTCACCTAACCTCAGAGTTGTGCAAACTCTGCTTCGTATGTGACTTTAAAATACCATAAGCACATAAACCTCTGGTTTCGTTAACACCTTGCATCACACGTCACACGCCTGGTCAACAGAAATATATTAAGTAATAAAACGTGTAGTGTTTTCAATGCAAAATTTGACGAAAAGAAGGCAGTCCATTAGTCCAAACATACCAGAACAACTTGCTAAGTGGCTGGATAAATAATTGTCCAATAATTCAGCAAATGGAAGAATGGATTCAGTTCTGTCCTTGGCCTAAGACAGTTCCAACCCACAACTTCTTCAAAAGAAAATGTAGTATTCTACCAGTGCTGTATCACTGAGCAACAAACAATGCAAGACATCTGAGGCCAGAAAAGGAACAGAATTTACTAGTGAATAGGGAGTCCCAAGTCTTGCTCTCAGGATTGCACTGGTATTTTTCCAGTGGTTGTAAAATTCAGAAAGAATACTGGAGGGGATCAACAGGCTGATGCTCTGTCCTTTTATTTGGGAGACTATAAATGCGATGTTAAAACCCACCCTTACGCCATAGAGAGAACTGAAGCCCACTCTTCCACTTTCCAGATGAAGCCTTTTACTATTAAGTTACTGCATTTAAAGCAGGCATCCCCACTACCCTTACACTAAACAAAAACTGTGAGCCTTGCTCTTTCAAATGAAAGAGGTTGGCACTTAGATTCAGGAGAGAATTCCAGGCTTGGATCCTAGATAGACAGACACTCCTTTCTGCAGTCCTGAATCAACCTAAACCTTATTTAGCCAGAGCAGTACCACAGGTGATTTGGCTCTCTTCAAAAGAATCAGTTACAAAAAAAACGCCAAAAAACCAAACACAACACCAAAACAAAACACTTTGAAACACACTCTGCTTCCTGATGCTTTCTCTTTCACATGCCCATGCTAGCCTGACGAGGTGGTTCCTAATGTTCTTTGCTCCAACTTATTAAGTTTTTGGCCCACAAGTATTATTCCAAACAGAAATTCCCCAGTCTTGACCTCCTATTTCTCTGAACAAAAGCATGATGCAAAAAAATGCAGATGTCTGCTAACAGCCAGTTCCTTCGCAGAATCTCCCCAAGGGTCACAAAGTGTCATAACTTGGGTTTCAGATCACTGGACTACAGGAGAAGTTGAAAAGCAGTCATTGTCTCTGGAAACAACATTTGTCCAGGAAATGGCATCATCTCACGCATTACCAGGGACCTGACTTCTACACCTCTTCAGAGCTGATTCTGGCACAGCATACAATGAATAACAGAGAAGACCCTGCTTACGCTACTGAGATTTTTACAGAAGCTTCCCAGGGAGGAGAAAACTAAAGTCAGGAAAAGCTGTAAGAAGCTTTCTCTTCTTTAATACATATCCAAAGAATCTATTTCTGACTCTCCATATCTATATCTGTCTCCATTTCTCTCTTTCTCTCTGTATCTCCACATTCTTATACATAAATATTCATTTAAGTTTCTTCAGTCATCACCCTACTGTCACACTTCTTCCACCACCACGCTTGCTGGTCCTGCCCCCAGAGTAGTTTGGCAGCATTCACCTTTGCCCCCATTTTCAGAGTGCTTCTTCCTGATTACTCTCTCATGGCTCCTTACAGCACACGTGGGGTTTGATATCACCCATGCACTATACAGGGAGTCTATACACCAAGGGAAAGCAGCACATCCCCAAAACTAAAAGACAGTGTGTCAAAACTGGTAGCAACTTCCTTTTTTCGACGCAAGGCAGCCAGGTAGCAAATGAACAGATTTATTGACCTTACAATACTTTAAAAAAATGAAATGGATGTTTTAGATCAAACAGGAAAATCCCACATCACAGCAGAGAGTCCTCTCTATATAGGCCTGTATAGTTGGGTTTATTTTAGGGGAAAACGTGCTCTTCCCTGCATCCTGACTTCATACTGGGAGTGTGTACACGTCATCCTGATTCTAGTTTTCTTTGAAAGAAAAGCTGGGTGCACTAGTAGGAGAGAGCCACAAAATGCTTTAAACAGTTCTCATTTTTGAGGATTTGTTTTCACATCTAGTTCAATATACAAATAGACGAAATCTCAAAAAATGTATTGCCTAAATTACCTTTGTATTTGCTTGCTGCACATAAATTACAGATTTAGTGTCTGAATACTTCCTATTCACATTGCATTTCATTTAGGTCTGTGAGAATTTCAGTCTGAGTAGACAGAATCATATGGATTACATTTTCTGCAAAACAGCAGCTGAGCAGATTTAAATAGCAGTTAACACCTAAATACAGAGGGACAGTAGAAAGTTGTATAAAAATGCTTAAAGGAGATCAGTACTTTGTTCAGACTGACTTCAATATGGGGTATGTATCTAATAATCCAAACATCTAGAAGGGCTTTACAAAAGTATCTACTGCATTTCAGGGCAGCTAACCATCTTTGTAAATCTCATTCTGTCTACATATATTGTAATAAGTCTTCTAGAACATAAAAGTCCTTAACTTGCCATGTTTTTCCCCACATATGAGAGCATAATTTTTCTTAACTTACGAACATCAATTGAAATTTAGCACTTTTAACATTTTCCCTCTGTTCTGTGTTTTATTCCCTGGGCAATCCCATTTACTTATTTATTGAGGAAGAGAATTTCAATTAAAAAAGAAAAAAAACTAAACCTTGTTACACTGTAAAGAAAAAATGAATCCTAGAGCACTTTATTCACAGGATTAGTAGTAATGAAGTCATATTTTCAGCTGCAGTTGGAGATCACTGAAGTATCACGACCACAACAATTTCCAGTTCTAAAGACTCAGTCTTTAATACCATTAGGCTACTGGGAAAGCTATCTAATACTAAAATGTACAAGAATCGTAACTGAAGATGCTTAGCTGCTTCTTTTGGGGGACACTTCTGATCAGATTCTGCAAGCATTTAGTCTTCGGTATAGTACTGAGCATACCGATTTCAATTTATTTCTCGAAAACCCTTCCTTGCACTCCCCACGCTCAAAAGAACAACTAACCTGAACTTTTGGTCATATTAGTGGTACCATAAAAAGCCATTCTGAGGTGTGGTGAGCAATATCTTTGTAAAATAAGGGGAACATTAAATTCTAAATCTGCAAGGAGCACATACTATATTTTTTCTATTAAAACGTTAGACTTGTACTATTCTCACTCTTGTACTATTTCTTTCTTGAATGTGCCATAAATAAAGCAGATATAACTGAATATATTGTCTTTGTATCCCATCTTACTTACTACATTAAGCTTGGTTTGGCTTCCACTGGTCATAAGTTCTTCCTCTGATACTTTACTAAAATTGTCCAGATAATGGTCTGATATTGTATGAGACAGATCTTCAAAAGAGTATTCCTTTTCTTGGCACAATTTGATTTCATCTAAGAGCTTTGATAATTCTCCAGTCACAGCTTCACCTTTAAAAACAGACACATCATTAGTCAATAATTAGAATACCAGGGGCAATTTATGCCTAAAAAGGAAATGCACATTCTTTAAATTTTATTGAGTATCTGTTATATTCCATGCCTTATCATCTAAGCAGGGATCTTCATGCACAATTCTCCCCTCAGAAATAACGGCATCTCATTCCAGAATGGCAATCACTGGAGGTAATCTACATAATTCTACATTCCCCTATACCTTGCATTTAATTAGGATGAATTACAATACATACTTACCCTTTCTCTGTTTTCTAATCCTGAAAATTGGCTAGAAATAGCAACTATCCAAGAATGTAAAATTAATCCAGGAAAGGAAAGTTTCTACAAACATACAAAATCAGTGTCCCATACTCTGCAGCGGGTTCATGTTTGCTGCTGTGATCGATTAATACACTACACAGGTTCCATAAAATGTAAGTAGGTTGAAACTGAGTTTCCAAGAATGCACATCTATCCCATCAAAGCAGCAATGTTTTATAAATAGTTCTTGTTCACTTTCCCAGGATTAAATGGAATGGTGGAAGGATATACTGGGCAAACCCACAAGTTTAAAACATGCCTCTCTATGGCAGTCTATCAGAAATCTATGTTTAGTGCATTCTCCATTGTGTTTCACGTTTTCTCCTTAATTTTTCAGATATCTTTAGTTAAGAAGTCTACCAAAATAGTAAGACAATGGGCTTCATATGTCTATACTAACTGAGGGCCACTATTAGAAATACTAGTAGTAATAAGTATTAGAATCACACCGAGTGCTAACTTTTCTGCAAATAGCCCAGTGGCGGCAGCAAGACCTCCACAGAGTAAAAAGCTACTTGTTGTGAGTAACTGCATTAGGTTCTGATAATTTATTGCATATGTGTTACACAGCTACCTTCAGTAACAGCAATGAAATTGTGAGTGAAAGCCAAGTTTTTCCAGGGGCAAATAAGAAAACTCTTCTCTTGACTAGGTTTATAAGAGTCATATTGTTGCAAACTACAGTTCTTAGACTTGACAAAATACAGAGATAATTCCATTTTACTCCATCTTTGGGAATAAAATGCTGAAAAGGAAAAGCAGAGCAAGTATATTAAGCTCAGCATACCTACAACACACATACGTACATCCTTGTAACTAAAGAAGTCCCGGATAAGATTGTATCTGCTTAGTCTAGAGCTCTTTTTGCATCATTTTTCTTCATAGTCACTGTTTGTTATGCTAGGTAAACATAAATATTCTAAAATATTTTTTAAATTACAACTATGGCCAGTTATGACTGAAATTTTCAGAGCCAAGACCAGAAATTGTTAATTAAAAGCATCTAATTGCTTTTTAATATCTAAGTAACAGAAATTTTACGTTCAAAACTCCTGTTACTCTTACTCAAGGGTAACTTTGCACAAAACTTGTAAATTAAACAAAGATATAATCAGGTTTATTTATATTCTGCCTTTTTAATTAGAAAATTGAAATTATTCCAGATTATTATAATAAATAAAAATTGGAAGTAAAATATCTAAATATTAAGAACTATTCTATAATCACGATACAGTGCCCTAAAAAGAAACAGGACTACTGTTTCCTGCAGAGTTATGTTCATGTCCCCATCCCATTGTATCCCACATGTGGCCTGCAATAGCTCTTACCGGGCAAGAATGAATTCTGTGTGACAAAACTGGAACTGCAAGGGTGCTGACTGACCTGCAAGTAAGTGTATGCTAACTGTCTGGCTGATTGCTGCCACAACAAATACATGAAAGACAAATTTTGCCTGTTTCTTTCAGTGCAGGCACTAATTACGGTCTCTCTCCTCTCTCTAACTACCTATTTTCATGAAAGTCACAGAAAGGTAATTGATACTGCTATCCCTCTTCCAAATTTGGTTTAAATTATTTGAAATTAGATTGTCGGAGAATGGTAGACGGATGGGAAGCACAATCAAGTACAATTTCTTTCCTTTAGAATCAGATTACAAAATAGACAAGCAAAAGCCAGCTAGCATGTTTTACAGTATTTATACCTTGAAAGCGGAAACAAGAAATGTGAGATCATGACCTTATCGTTAAGAAGTAAAACATATTTTAAAAATATTTAATACTTAATTTCAGGAAAGACATTTCTATTGCATAGGGTAGTTGACTTCATGATTCTACTAATCTCAGGAACTTTTTATCTTCATACACCGTATTCTTCACCGAAAGGGTGGTCAAGCATTGGAACAGGCTGCCCAGGGAAGTGGTTGAGTCTCCATCCCTGGAGGTATTTAAAGAACAGATAGATGTGGTGCTCAAGGACATGGTATAGATGGACTTGGCAGTGTTAGGTTAACGGTTGGACTCGATGATCTTAAGGGTCTTTTCCAACCTTGACAATTCTATTATATGCCTGTTAAGTACTCCAATGGGAAACATGAATGGAACTAGAGCATTTGTTTACTATTACCATGAAGATCATAATCTGGCATGCAGCAGTAAGCTTATTTTTCTCATGAATGAAAACTCTCCCTGTAAAGGTGTTTAAAAAACAAACAAACAAACCAACCAAACAAACCCCACACTACTAAAACAAAGAAGAGCGGCTTAGTTATTTGCCAGCAGTCAATTACATTTACTTTGGATGATTAGAGAAGGTCAGGTTTAGTTCTACAGGAAGATGATTTTCATGGAAGAGCAGGACACCACCACACTCAGGAAATGCCCTATTTAAGTGGCTCTGGTGTGTGAAGGGTGAATCAGAACATAAGATGAAAGCACATGCACACAACAGTGATAGTCACAGTATATGAAAGATACATTAGAAGATGAATGGAAGAGCAGTACATACATGATCTTTGAAAGAGGCATCCAAATGTAACAAAACTGAAAAAGGTACTCACTGGGAAAGATAAAGGAAATGAATGCAGTCTTTAACTTGAATGTGAACAATGCCTGCATAGGATTTTGACATATCTAGTATCCTTTTGTTTTACCTGATTATGAAATACGTAAGGTCAGATAAAGTAAAAAGATTTAAGATCAAATAATGTAATACATTGTAGTCAATCAGTGACTTGTCCTTTCTGAGAATACAGTTCTTTGCTTTCCTATATGACACGGATTACAGTGTATGTAGTCAAGATAGGTAATTCACAGTGAAAAAAACATCTTGGTATCAATAACTTCCTTAATCTTTTTCATTTGTATGTTTGTATGAATGTGTCAGAAATATAACTTTAATATTAAAGAGAAGTTCAGTACAGTTTCTGTATTCACAGAGTACATGTATTTACTTTTAGCCTTTGGAGACGGAGGAACTTCTGGGGACAAAATGCAAGACTGATGTTCTGCGCATTCCAGTGGGCGCTCCTCTGAAATACTTGCATTTCCTGTTTCCATATAGTCTGTAATTTAAAGATACACATACACTTAAACTCCTGAATTAAGGGGGTTTATTCTAATCAAAAGTGTATTTGCCACTTCATTTTTCATTAAAGCCTTTCCAGTTTTTCATATTACAACCTTGTAATTATTCACAAACACTGCTGCAAGGCAATCATTTATTGAAAGTATTATAAAACACTGTAATGGCCAGTTCTTTAATCTGCTGAAACTGTTACAGAAATCTCATTGTAGGAGTAAGGAGTTGCAACTATCCCTGTTTTTCTCCTGTCTCCTTGAAATATCTATGTAACTGTTCCATTATATTATTACTGTTGAAAGAGTCTTCTTTTGTTCTAAATTTGTTAAGAGTTTTTAGTCAAGATGTTCAGGATGTTCACAATAAGTAGATATACCGATACTGCTAAGAAAATCAAATATTCTGCTTGCAGCACAGAGACAGTACATAACTAAATTTTTGAGATTGCTTTTCTTTTCTTAAAACTAGCAGCCTAAAAAGCAGTGTTCTAAAATTTTGTGCTTTTCCTCCTTAAAACTTCCCTTGTCCCACCTTCATGACAATGTTTATAAAAACAGAAAAATGTGGAATGACAAACATGCTAAACTTCAGTTTCGTTACGATTATTTTTGTGTAAATATATACATTATTTTCATGTGCTTTTGTATACAGGCTAGCTCAATGGAACACCAAGACCTTAATGAATGTTATTGTAGGACGAATATTAAATAATAAATTAGAAATTAATTGATGCAACAGTGACGCTTTTTTTGCAGCGGGTTGACTGGCTCTCAGTTCAGGCAGTTATTCTGCATCTGCATTTTCTTAATTTTCTGAAGTTGCTTAAACAAGTTTTTTCTGATATCAGATAGTAACCACAACAGTACACGTTTCAACACACACAAAAGCAAACTACAATAACTGCCTTCATCAATATCACGCTGAAGAGCTAAAGAGTTTCTGGGAAGTGAAATCTCCCAGATTTAATTTCTACAGTCTACAACGCACTTGTTTAGCTTGTTATTCTTGATTGAATAACAAATCCCAAAACCCAAATAAAATCTGTGATAGACATCCAAGAAAATGAAATTGGAAGCGGCAGAGAACAGCATGCAGTTTCAGAAAGCTTTGCAGATTGCTTTTTTTTTTTTTTAAAAAGAATGTATGACTTGAAAATGTCATATATTAAGTTTGATGGCTGGCAATGGTCCACTAAGTAATCTGTCATACATGTCTTCATGTGAAAATGGGCACTTCTATTTTTTTGTGTAGTGCTGAAAGCAAATAAGAGCTGTAAGAGACCATGAGAAAACCAGCAGCATGACAAAATGCTCTGGAATGTTTTTCAGCTTTGTCAGCTTTATTCTATGTCAAGTTAACGTGCAAGATGGAGGACAAATAAAAAGAAAGCTATACCCAAAGAAAAATAAAAGGAAAAAAGGAATTCATGCCTGAAAATATTTGCTTGATAATTGTGCAACTGTCCAAAAGCAAACCTAAAATGAAGTTCTACCAGGTGGGAGTGTTAAAATTATTGGATCAATACAAATATTATTAGGAAAGGAAATGCAGGGGAGATTGTGAAGGACTTTAACCTTGCTGTCTGATATTCAAATAAGACTGTGGTTTTAAAATAATACTCTATTTTTATTCTTTTATTCTTTGTCAGACCTCACTTTCAGACCAATTCACTTACCTGCTGAAGGCTAGTTCTGAGGAGGAAATCCCAAGTTCAACATAAGTCTCATAAATACTTACTTTAAAAACAGCAGAGTTCCTTCTAGAAAACCTCTACGAAAGACTCAGCACAAGGCATGGTGTAGAGGTTTAGAACAGGCCAACAATGCGCCATCCTTCTAAGAGTGCAACCCTTAAAACTTTGGACTTCTGTGGGACTTCTATCCCTAATTTGGTTTTATACTCTTGAAAATTCTACCAGATATGTACGAGACAAATAAAGACATGTAATCAGTTGCGAGAGGCTTATAGTCTAGGTAAATGCATACTTACCTATAATATCACCAAAGAAACAGACACAAAACAGGTGATCTATGTCAAGAGCCAAAGACAAAGCACACACAAGCAGTGGATGCTTTCACCAGCAACCAAATTCTATTCACCTGCAGTTGGCCAGAAATTAATCTTCTAAGCCTGCCAAAACTTATTGAAAAAGACGATACTGTTAACCACCATTTGCTCTGACTATGGTGTACTTGAGAGACTGCTCTGGATTCTATCACTTTCCTCAAAAAAAAAAAAATCAGAACAAAGCCAAGCTTAGTCAATTATACCACTTAATGACCAGACCGGTTTCCCCAGCTGTGGTCTCACAGAGTTTAGAGAAAAGCCTGTTATTCTTATGATACAGTAAAGGCTGTTTGGGACATGACCTGTCAGATTCATAACACTTCCTTCACCAGCTTTCTGTCATCCTGTTCCATGTTTCAAAGACAGCTAGCACAACTAACATGCAAGGGGTGAAGGAAGCATATGTTAATACACACTTCAGAGATGTTTCCTCACGGTACTGGTTTGGGAAGAATGGAGTATTTTACTTCTGTTGACTCAAATAGCAGATTACAGTTCAGTGAGGATTAATACTAAGAATCTCAAAAACTTTGCCTGCTTAGTAGCATTCTTTTTTACAGCTATCCAATTTTAACATAGCCCCACTCAATCTAAATAGGGCCATGTGCACAAAAAGTAATAGCATAAAAGCGGTCACACAACAGGGGACATAAAAGCAGTGGGGAATATGAACCCAAGAAGGTAACAAGCACTAGAGAGTTTGAACTGCTGGAACTCCAGCTTTCTCAGTTTCTGTAACACCGGTTAGGCCAAAGCCAAGCAGAAGGGAAAGCGTTAACACGTAAGCAGAGAAACACAGCTGCTCTCCGCAGAGCAGCCAGAGCCAGGAAGGTCAGTCATGAAGAGAACATGGCCCAGCTCAGCTGGAGCTGCTGCTGACCTTCCAGGGGCAATAAAATCTCAGGCTTTAGAGCACAGCTTACTTTAACTTCAGCTCCTGTATGTCCTAATTCCTCAGTGAGGTGAGAGGGTCAAGATTTTTGCTTTATTTATAAACCTTGGCTTTTAGGGTAATGGCTACATTAGCATCAGAGAACTTTTTACTTTTTCTTTTAATGGAAAAAACCGAACCAACCTAACAAATTTTTTTTAAATGAAGTATGAACTCCTTTCCCTTTTGTTTTGAGAGCCTACTTCAGCCATGCCATGGGTGGAATTGCATAGAGTTCCTCCCTAGAATGACTTCCTTTAAAGAGACTAAAAGGCTTTTTAAACTCTAAAAAAGACAAATTTGATTAGAATAAAAATCTGAACACTCACCTTTTCAAACAGAAGACTCTCCAATTAAGTAGATTGGAGGAATAAAACTGGTTTAGAAACCACTCTCCTCCACAGCCCATGTCCCTGCAGGGAGATCCTTACTCCTCCTTCACTCCATGTCTTCCTGAAGGACAGCAATCTTCAGAACACCCTCTGCCCTCCCCAGGGCTCTCCCAGCACCTGGCTGAGGATCCTGCAGCTCCATTAAGTCCTGCCCCAGCACATGAGCTCTCTAAAAGCTCCTCCCAAAACAGCTCACTTGCTCCCCCAGTAGGAACCCCACCTGAGGCTTCACGACCCAATTCCTCTTCTTTTTACAGCAGCAACAGTTACAGAAAACCGACCGGTAACTGCTACCTTCAGGTGTGCTAAGGTGACACACTTGAGCTGAGATGGAGGCTGGGCTGACTACAGTCTCCTAAATTTCAGAGGACAATTCTGAATGACTCATGTTTGACTTAATCCCAAAGAAACCTGACATCACTAGATGTTTAAGTTATTGGCAGGAGATAACAAAAGGAGACTTCTGTGCACGTGTTCAAGGAAGATAAACAGAAACAAGCACTCAAGTACTGCTATGATCCTGAGATAGGTAAGGGCGCAGCTAAACTTTCAGTCCTCAAAACAACAGAAGTTAAATTAATTCATAAACGTAGTCAATACTCTGCAGCTTTTACACAATAGCCTATAAAAGGAGCTGAGAAGTCCCCAGAAAAAAAAAACAACAAAGGGGAACTGAAATCCCAATTCTTTTCATCCCACACAGCTGTAATTAAATCCTTGACTGGAATCTTATTCCATCCTTCCAGCGAGGCTGGCCTCCTGCACTCAAGGGAATGGAAGATCTACTTGTCCACACAGAGGGAGAGAAAGAGAGTGTGAGGATACACAAAAGAAAGCCTGTGCTAATGACACCAAAGCTATTTAAACAGAGGGGAGAAGAAAAGATTCCTGGTTCTGCAGCTGCTTATGCATTTTCCATTTGTGAATAATTAGGTAACATGTACAAACAATGTTAGGTTCTTAAGCAGCTTCAGCAGAAGAGAGAGGAAACAGCTTTCCATTGCATCTCCCTCCATACTGTCTATGCAGCAGAGCTTATTGTGCCTTCCCAGGGCTCGTGTCATTTTTCATCTGTTTATCTACTATCTCCTCTTTTTCATAATAACAAGAATTCTGCTTCCAGAAATAGTAAAAGAGCAAGATTCTAATAGAGAGCACAGTGGGCTGTGGAGAAAGAGTTGAAAGATGCTATAGCATGCACCTGCGTCACATTCACATGTGCTAAAACTAAAACACAGCTGGTCTGTTTAATTTTAGGCCTACTAGCCTTGGCAACATCCCTTTTATCTTCAAAGCCTAATTATAAAGCCCTAAGTGCCAATACCGTTAACTGCTTCAGCACTGAATGCTGTTGTTTCACTACATCCATGAAATGCATCCAGTAGACTGGCCTTACTTGGCACAGTATTCTAATTCTCTGCTCTTTAGTACATAATGCCTAAACAGCTATTTCTTCATTACCACGTAAAGAATCTAAACTGCAATAAGTATTTTTAATTGAGTTCAGTGCAACTCAGACCTGAGCAAGACACAGAAAATGATGGGACTTATATAAATGACAAAGAATTAAAACTTGAACTGTCATTTCTAATAATTCCATCTATAATTAGCAGGCAGTGAAAAAACATTCAGGTGGCATATAGTTTACTCAGCCTTTTTTACGTTGCTCTTCAAAGTGATTTTGTTATTTATTTTCCTTCTATCAGATAATGCGCCAAAATCTCCAAAAAGATGGGAGACTTTGCAAACACAAAACATATATTTTTGCAGAAACTTCAATTACTATTTTCTCAGGATAGTGAGAAGAGATGTAAAGTAAAGATCACAAAAACACTAGGATCACTTCTAAAACCTCTCTGGCAAAAGGTTTTATTTCTTTTTAACCTATAATCTGTAAAAAGTAGTTTTGTAAATATTCTTAAAAAAAAAAGGTGAACACCAATAGAAACTTCTATCCACAAGTCTTGAATTCTGGAGGCCTCATTCACAGGAGGCTACCAGTCCTATAGGTTTTAGTATCAGCTGAACAGATTTAGTATTACTGCCTCCATGAACTGCTTCTAAAGACACAAATTACTTTCTCCTCCTTCAAAGAAGTTTCTCATCAATATCCTTAAAGCCAACTCATTTTCTTTCAAAACATTTCTTACAACTCTGTTACCCCTTTGCATATAGGACAGAACACTACCTATCAGGCCCACCAGTAATACCTAAGTCACATTACTTCCTTGTCCATTTCTGCCAGTCTGTTTATATGCATCTTTCAGCCTTTGTTTTATATTTTGAAAGCTAATGTCTTGTGGCAGGGACAAATATTATACTATGTTAATACTATAAACTGTACAGTAGCAGTCATAACAATACAAGGGGGAAATGGTAAAAATGAGAATGCCAGGTGATAAAAGCTTACTCTATCCTAGCAACAAGGTGAAAGAATCAATTCAATGCCATTGTGTCTGCATAAGGAAAAAAATTAGGAAGAAACTTACAAAATCCAGTCAGTAATTGTCTGATGCCATTAACTTAATTTCTTTTTTCTGTAAGTCTACATGAAGGAGACATGAAGCTTCTCTAGAAAATCATCTGAAGACAGGAGCTTTAACAGGAATGTATTTGGAAGCCACTAACTCTCAGCAATTGCCCTTTCTTTGCATGGAATTCATTACCCACTGAAGTCAAATTCAGTTACAGTACATTCAGGTTTCCCAAAATCCCAGTGCTTCACTGATTTTTCAGCTACAACAGAATAAATGCCCACACTTCAGTGAAGAGTATGCTCAACTGGCTTTTTAGAGGAGGGTAGGTCTACTGTATCATCAGCAGTGCTAGTACTGAATCCTGCCACTTGTGGTTTTATTTTTCAACTTCAGCTCACAGTTCAAACTTTATCATTGATGATTAAAGTTTCAGTGAACCCTTTGCTGATGAAAAAGAATCTCAGTGGGTTCCACAAGGGAGTTCTGAAGGGGCTCCTCAGGTTTCCTTAAGACTCAGAATGCCATCTTTGTAAACATTTTTCATCCTTGCACATCACTTCTGACTAGAAGGCAGACAGAGCAAAAATAAACAGCTGCTTGTTACAAGCACAGTTTCGTCATACTAATATGAGCTGAAACTACTAAGCAGTCTTCTTTATATTTTCAAGGCACACATGTGAAAAAGATTGCATGTCAAAGCACCAAAAAGCCTTGAAATTGATGCATTTCTTTTTTGTGGTAAAAACTAAGGGCAGATACTGATCCATCAACATGACAAACCCTTGAGAGGGGTTTGGGTGCTTTATTTTTCATACAGCAAGGTACTTTTTGAAAAAACTTCGTCAGTGGGGTTGAGACTGCAAGGTTATCACACTAAGGAGAAAATGGAATAATGCAGAGATACTAAAACAAAAATTAGTTTATTTGGTGATGGGACATTATAATGAATCTTAGATTAATATCTGAAGGATGATTGATTTGGATGTCTAAGAAAGTGGAAGCTCTGACTGACCCTTTTGCCGCTGAAGAAGTTTCGGTATGATATTTTCCCTCTTTTCCTCTACATAGTGGTACGTTCACGTTGCAGCTCAGTGAGGACATAAAGGCTGAAGTTTCACCATACATTCTGAGTCAAATTAAGAACTCCCTTCCGCTGACAGGGGGAAGTCCTACTTCCCTCACCCATATCTTCCTCCCCTCTTTTTGAAGCACATTTCTGCCAGTTACCTGGGACAGAGCTAACTCTGGGACCTGAATCACATAGGAGGCAAGTTCATTAAAATAAACAAATGTATATTTATATAATTACAATCTTATTTTTTATTATCGTTACATACTATTAAATATAGATATTACAATAAATTATATATTTTATATATTACTAATCCATGAACTGAATCAGATCACTTTGCAATCTCCTGTAAGCAGGGAAAATGGAAGGGAACTGTGTAGCTAGAAGTAGGGGAAGAAGAAGGGGAGGAATGGGGGAAAGGGAAGAAGAAAATAGGAAGGAGGGAGAGAAGGAGACCTCAAGGCAAGCTGTTAATTCAGTTCAGCTGTAACATGAGTCTGCTCCAGCCTGCAAAATTTTCATTATACTTATAGGAGCTTTGTACCTTCAGTCCATCATCTCACTGGAAAACTTTACTGAAGCTGGCTAACAAGTTTGGAAATTATTCAGAAAAGAAAACCTGAAGAACACAATGTGGCCACGTGACCTCATTTTCTCTAGGAAATGTTCTTATGAAATACAGTTAGGTGGGAGACTGAAGCATGAGCTAGTTCATATGTAGCACCAACACTGAACTGATTAAAATGTCTTATTTAAAGATGGAAATAATCAATACAGGTGGAGATGCAGCAGGGAACTCCTCTGTCAAACACAGTTAATGAAGGACTAATCTGAAAATGCAGGGGACAAATTCCATAGAAGAGAAGGAATGATGTTTAACACTGAGTTATGTACTAGCTCATGTTTCATCACTTTACTGATACCTTCTAGAGTAAAAAATTGAAGTAAACAATGGAGTTCCATCAGTTTTACACCATTAAAGTAAGATGAGGAATGAGAACAAATGTATGCACAACAAAATTATATTATTTCTGCTATAATGACAAGAGTTACTGCCTGGTTTAATTTTTTTTAAATTTAAGGAAAATGAGAAAAATGTAATTAAATGTTTTGAAAATTTCATCATCTTTCAGTCATAGTTGTTATTTATGAACGAATGAAGCATTTCAATTGTAGTTTACCATCACAATTTAATGGAACCGCAGTGAAATATTACAATATGTCATTTCGTAATGAAGAATGTACAAAGAGTAACTATAAGTGACACACCATGCTCATGACTATTGTCAGAAAAAAAGAAAAGGTTTACTCTGAAATTCAGATATTCATTCACTTATTTTTGTGTATCTAGAAAACAAGAACTTTGTCTTTTTAATTCAAAAGACTCCTCTTTTGTATAATGAAATATTTAAAGAGTAGAAATTACTATGTATCTTAATATTCCTCCATGCTATTCTGATTTGTCTCTAACAAATGTATAACTGAATATGACTTACCTTGAAGTAGAGCCACAATTTGCAGTGACTGCTGAGATGGATGTTCTTTAAGAATATCTAAAACCGTTCTACCCAAACTGTCCTTTATGTTGGTATCAATTCCTGAAAAAGAAAATTATCTGTGGTGGAATTTTTAACCCCAAGTACTTCTGATTATAAATCTGGTACATCAGACTCAATTATCTGGCAAATTGAATGCAAGCGGTTTTACAACTGTAGCAGATTAACAGCTGTGTTATAGTTGAAGTACAGCATCCATTTCTGTTTAAAGCTTAAGTAGCCTAAAATTCACCTGCTGACACGGATTGTTTTCATATTTCTGTAACTCATGGGGATATAAAGTAAGCTTCTTAAACTGAACTTGGGATTATTTTAACAGACTGTTCCTAAGAAACAGCCACCCTGAAAATAATGTTTTATAATATCAAGAACATGTCTCAATGTTTTTGCATTCTAATTCTCCCCAGCTGCTCTGATTCATTGGGGATTTTCTAGGCCATAGTACAGTACGTGTTTTGGGAGCAATACTGAAAAAGTTATTAACCTTAAAAGTTTTGTACGTCATGGCAACATGTTTGAAATTCATGCTCTGAGTAGACACAAATACCCATATGTAGTATAAGGGCTGTGTGAGTCGCCAGAGCATTTCCTCACGGACTGTTCAGATTGTTGACAAAGTGATTGTTTGGCTCAAACTATGAACATAACCATAAATAAATTTGAGGCTTATCTGGGATAGGTGTCAGAGAACCTGTTGTACATGGTACTGCATGACTCTCCACCTTTGTCTTGTAGGGGCTACTTTGGAAATGTTTGCCTTATGGTAGAAGACTGAAGCTGGTTTTTATTTCAGATGTACCTTCATAAAAAGTAAAGGCATGAAAGGTCCTAAGGAATGCGATTCTTCTTGGGACACTGAATAGAGGAAATCAGAGGAAGTAGGATTTATAAGGACATTCTGGAAGCATGGAAGGATTTCTCTACTCACCAGAAAAGGCTGCAGTTCCTGTCATTTCCTGATCTGATGGAGAGTTTCCTAATTTGTTTTGTGAGAAAGAGATATTTGTTTTCTCACTGAAAATAAAGCCAAAATATTGCTGGGCTAATTACCAGTGGCAGCTGATTTTCAGAGGCCAGAGACACCAACTTACACCTTTCCTTTGCAGTAGCTACTTATAACATCTTCTGAGTCTTTTTAAGAAGAACTAGAGGAAAAGGGGATCATTAGATAAAAAAGGCAGAAGGTGGGGAGTGTTGCAGAAGTCCAGAGCATTTGGGGTTGAAGGAGTTCACAGTGAAGATTCTACTCCACTGTCTTGTACAAGTGTACTCTGGAAGAGGCTATAATATGTACTAGTCTATAAGAGGTATTCTTTATCTGTGGTCTAAGGGCTTCCTATGTTTGTGTGATGTTCTCTAGTCCTTCCTCTTTTAGGTGAATTAATAGAAAAAGGCCCTGCCTTTTTGAGGGCAGGTGAAGATCCCTTTCTGCCTCCTTCTTATTCATCAAAACAGGAAAGCATCTTGCAAGGACCTTTTTTTCTGAAAACAGATCTCAGATCTGGTATGCACTAGCTGAGATTCAGATGAGGAGCTGTGAGTAGGACATACCTTCTTTTGCAATATATAACCCCACAAGCACTGATAATAAAGATCAATGAGATCCCTCAGTGTAATGGAAGTTCACTTATCTCAGAGAAGTAATTTCTAGATATTTTCATTTTCATTGGTCTTCTCATTTATCTGAGAAGACAGTTGTTTAGATGAATAATTTACCTGCAACAATTCTGAAACTCTTATTATGTAGTAGATGGGTTTGTTGGGACTCTATATCCCTGTTCTCCTGTCCTTTCAGGAGAAATGCAATTCTCGGAGACACAGTGCCTTCCCCTTTCTTCACAGGCACTCAAAGTTTATCCAGGAAATGCAGGAGCAAGCAGGATGGTGTATCTGTTAGGAATAGCTAAGTGAAGGAAATAAATGTGAGCATGAGTCTTCTGGCCTCTAATCAAAGAATATTCTTGGCTGTCTTTCAGAATGAATAACAAAATTTTATGTAGCCATTTTGTTCTCAGAATACATTTATTCTTGGAATACAGTAGCATACACTGAGTCATATATGGAATTTCTGAGCCTCAGTGAAAACATTCCTTTTGTTCTCTGTGTACAGTAATTTCTTATTCTGAAAGAACACTGTTTTAAGGAGTGGTACATGTGATTAGATTTGCAAAGGCTGAGAAAGATAACAGTAATTTGTATAACCAAAACTTGAGGAGGCATACAAGAGATTAGGAATATTAAGGATATTGGTTCAGTGTTACCTGTAAATTAGATTTACCTGTTTCAAGCAAAATGCGTACCACCTCCACCTTTCCAAATAGGGCTGCTTCATGTAGTGCGCTCCCTTTTTCTGTCTAGAAAAAAAAAATATTGTGACATTTAAAATACAAATTAAAATACCAATGAATCCTTTTGAAAAGAATACATTTAGAAAAGAAGCATTTATTTTTTTCCCCTGTGTTTTATCTACACATAAAAAACATTGAATGGGCAAGAACAAATACTACCATATTTTTTTTATTATTATTCAAGATAACAACATAAATGCTGTCAGTTCTACTATAAAAATTAGTAACTATATAAGAAAATATAGTAGGGATGTAATACAACTCCCAATTAAGAAGCCTGCATTTGTGTAAAATCTCTAAACTCCTGTTACAGGCAGTGAAAATCTAGTCAATATCATCAGTGGAACATAGCTGTTCAGCAGAGTCAGCCAGTTTACATGTGGACATCTACACTTAGGTGTTTTAATCTGAAACTGGATCACACCCTAGAAGGTCAATTCAGTTCCACAGTGAGACATGCCCTAGGATATGCCACCTGGCCTCCAGCTGATGTTCCACTTGATGTTCACAGTTGATCTGCATCATATCTGCCCATACAGATGTCTTGGATACCCTAAGGCACCTCCAACAGCATTAGATGTCTATTTTTAGATCACTTAAATTCTACCTTAGAAGTCTGTGAACCTGATTTTGCAGATTTCTTTGACACAAAATTCTTTGTGAATGGACTTCTGCTCAAATAAAATTTACAGTACTGATAAACAAACTACCTCTCTTAACAAGCTACTTTTCTTAGTATTTTATACTGCTAACTGTTGCTGAAAAATCTGAACAGAATGCCTTTCCATACAATAGCATTACCACTAGTTAAAGCACTACTAGATCTCACTGAATCTCTGACTCATCTCCTTTTTTTGACAGTAAATTAGATTTTGAGTGTTTTTTATTTGTGGACAAATGTTAAATGTTTTACTGCTTGAATTTGTTTTTTCTATATTTTATCCAAATGCACCACTGTCATGCTTTCTATGGTGGAAAGACTGTAAAGACACACAAAAAAAATTAACTCTGAAATAAAATAGTGATTCATTATTTATTAGCTGTATCAGAATGCACCAGTGTTACAGCAATGCAATGACAGGATATTTAGAAGTAATCAGAGATCCTGAGATGGGATGTGAGCACACAGTAAGTGTACATATATCCTACCAATTGAGCCTGAAAACTCTGTTATGTCCATAATAGGAACACTCACTTTTTATCTTTCTTCATACTTAGCACATGGACGTATAAAGTAGAGCATGCCCAATGTCATTTACATCCAGCACATCAGGTCTACTAACAGTATAATGGAGAGGAGAAGGAAGTCAGTAAGAGAATACACATATGAAATACATATCTCAAAACAATTTCTAATCTTTCCATTTTCAGAAGCAATCCAGATGAACATCCAGACACTTATTCTGAACAAGAAGACTAAATACTCAGATTTACTTAGAGATGGTTTCAGAATCCTGAACAACATCTACAGGACTTTTCCAGTACCTGTAACTGATCTTAACACTGGATAACTCTGCAATGACGTAGAGCAACCACAAAGGTACACACAGAGCTCAAGGTGCAGCTCAGAAATTTCTGGGAATGAAAACAGTTCTTAGAAAAGTCACTGATAGCTATAGGTCTGATTACTAAAAAGGCTTGGCATCAGCAATCTTGAAAAAGGTTTTGACACAGCCTCTTATCCTCTTTGGTATTTGTGTGGATATGGCATTTACTTTGGATTGGTCACTTACAGACATGAATAAACCTCAAGACTATTGAGTGGACCTGGTACTATTAACATAGAGTTCCCTGTCATCAAGGATGTGAAATACATCTTTGACTCCCAAAATATTTGATTTTCGGAAAGACAGGTGGTGAAATTCAAAAGCCACAATGGGGAGAAGTTTGGCATGGTAACCTGCCAGAGAAGAACACCAAAACAGGGGCTCAATCACAATTGATGACTCACTGTTTTGAGAAAAGAGGAAGGTCTCATATTTGAACTTATTCACGACAGTTGAACATATTCTGTCATATTTGAACATGCACTAGCAATGTGTCCTTGCAGCAAAAAAGCTAATGGTATCCTGGGCTGCACTAAGAGGAGTGTTGCCAGAAGGTCGAGGGAGGTGACCTTCCCTTCTGTTCACCACTGGTGAGGCCACGCCTGGAGTACTCCATCCAGTTGTGGGCTCCCCAGTACAAGATAGATATGGAGCTACTAGAGAAAGTCACTAAGATGATTAAGAGACTGGAACATCTCTCCTAAGAGGAAAATCTAAGAGAGCTGGGACTGTTTAGCCTAGACAAGAGAAGGCTCACAGGGGATCTCATCAATGTGTACAAATATCTGAAGGGAGGGAGTAAAGAAGACTAAACAAGGCTCGGTGGTGTCCAGTGACAGAAGAGGTAAGCGGAAAACCTGAAACACAGGAGGTTCTGTTTGAACATAAGGAAACATTTTTTTGCTGTGCAGGTAACTGAGCCCTGGTACAGGTTTCCCACGAAGGTTGTAGAGTCTCAGTCCTTGGAGATATTCAAAAGCTGTCTCGACACGGTCCTGGGCAACCTGTTCTAGGTGACCCTGCTTGAAAAGCGGGGGTTGGACCAGATGACCTCTAGAGTTACCTTCCAACCTCAACTATTCTGTGATTCTGCCAGGGATAATAATTAGTGATGTATACACCAACAGTGAAATCCACAGAGGTTCAAATGTTATAGGAGGCCTGAGCAGTAAATTTTAGTCCTACTGAGGATGAACTGCAGAGATGGGAATCAGCTGCACCTTGACTAAAATTGTAGAGATCATTCTGTATTAATATTAATAAGGAACCTCTTTTAATGGAAAAAATGGACATACTTTAGTGACAACAGCTATCTAGGATCCATTCCTTCGGCATGATCTGAGACTGAGAAAGATTAATGTTCCAGCATGCTGAATCAACAGCTTTGAAGACAAGGGAGAGGATCTATCCTCAGACTTCTCAGTTAAGCGGTGGAAAAGATGCTGGTATGATAATTGTCAGAACTGGCAGCAGTCCTTTCTATTGATTAAAATTCCCCACTGGAGGAAAAGCAAGTAATATTTTCCTTGATGAAAGCATACATCTCATAAGAAATGAAATGAAAACTAACATAAGAAGAAGTTTCCTGTAGATGTCTAAGGCAAACAAATCTATCTGGGGACAACTTGAGAGCCAGAAGATAGTTTTGTAACAATGAACCAAAGCTCTGCTATGCATAAAGGAAGTAGAGAAACTTAAGCCACCTACATATGTAATTCATAGTGTTGGAAGAAGAATCCAAAGCCAAATGCCATTTTTTTCATTTTATACTTTCTCGCTTCTTGGCCTATTCTACTGTGATATTTCCTGTCATATCTGAACATGATCCTGAAATGCTTTACAGGCATTCTGCACTGCCCTGAATTCTGGGGCAGTCTTTGCTTTACAACTCCAAGCTATCAGACAGTGCTAATGAATGCCATATGCCAGACATGAGGTATATATTACAAACAGTCTGTTCAAAAGAGGAATTTGAAAGGCACACGATATAAATAGTGGACTGATCTGTCCACTATATAGGTGATTTTCTGAGCAAGAAGGGAAATATTACCATGAAACTGAAAGAAAATCAATCTGGGAACATGGAGACTGAAAGCACACTTGCAAAATGCAGATGTATAATCCTGCGTGAGATGTCACGAAGATGGATGCTGACGTAAATCTTAAAAGCTCTAGGCAGGATTTCATGGTAATAGTGAATAACTAACGAGTGAATCAGATCCCTCGACCCAAAAACTGTCCAGAAGGCAGAAACGTCCCTGTTACCAGAGAGTTCAGTTACCAAACTCCATTTTAACACAGGGAAAATGCTGAGCCTCAGTACGAACAGGGCCAAGAGAAACTGGGAGGACTGGCTGGATAGATATGTATCTCTTTGTAAACGCACATGTGGACTGCTACTTAAAGATAGAAATAACGTTGGGGGGGGGGGTTTCTGGTGCAATAGGGCATGTTACACAAATTGGAAGGATTAAAAACTGTAGTTCCAAATAATTTCTATATATTATTTAAGATGTGCTAGAGTTTTTAGGTAGATCTTTTTCAGTTATAATGGTGTACCTATGCACTAATATACTCTTGTTGTCTATACTACAGCAAGGAAACTTAAGATTTATAGACAATATTCACTGCTTTACTTCCTGAAGCTTTCATTGCCTTGGATCTTATCTTTCTGGCAAAGTGAACACTACCATTATATTTGAAAATTCTTCCACAGTGATATTTAATGCAAAAAATGCTGGTATTTTTTCATGAACACAGTGAGCTGAAGTCTGCTTGAGTTTGCATCAATGGATTATATATTGATTCCCTGGCATAAGTTCTCTGTATATCAAGTATAGAGAACTATAGCACAAATTGTGCTAAGCATATGATAAAACAGTCCTTGCCCCAAGTAGCTTACAGCTAAATACAGGTACAATGTCCCATCTGGACACACAATACAAGCAAGGATAGAAGGACATTGTCAGTAGGAACACCAGGATGCACAAATCAACTTGGTGTACAATTTGCAGGCTCACGTAAAAGCATCAAGGGTTTTATTAATTAGAGATTTTTTTAACCATGTAAATATGCAAGAGCATGTAATTAGGTCACTTGTCTAGTCCTTATTCACAGGCAGTTTACAATAGTTTTCATATGGATTTCAAGCATAATCTGAAGGACGGAATGGTAGCTTTGCAAATTGATTCCTGGAATATCCTCCATAAGTAGTGACAGTAAAAAGGAAGGGGCATAGCTCTTTGCAGAACTACAGTGATAAGCAATGGAAATTGCTGTCATTACTGGAACAGACAGGGAAGGTAAATAGGGATAGACAAAAGTTGGATAAGCAGAAGGGGCCAAGTTTTTAAGGTATTTACAATTATAAAATTACTGTTTACATGAAACACACTGAACTGTGCAGTATCTTATTGTAGTGAGGGCCCAAAATCTATCACTCACCCAAAACCTGTGTATTTTTCATATGTTTCAATTTAAATGAAAACTTCAAAGCATAAAGCATGAAGCAGATTTGTATTGCCCACTTCTAAATAATTTCAGATTGAAGGATATTGGATACACCTGGGAAATGAATAAAATGTGTGATTAATTCAATCAAAAAATTAAATGCTGTCTATTATTAGTCCAAATATTTGCTATGATTAAAAGTGCTCGGGGAGTACAGAAAAGAAAGATAACATGGCTAAAGTAAACTTTCCATTTAAACAAATAAATATTTACAATTACAGAGTGACAGCAGATAGGCTACTTCTATAATTGTCTCAACATTCTGAGAGCTCTTTACTGCTGATAAGCTGAATTTATTTAACGTGTATGAATGTGTACAATTTTATTTACCACATGGGATTTATACTTTGTATATTGTTCTTTCCCAATCAGTGATGCAGAGCATTTTAATTAATATTAAAAGAGCCGAGTTCAGTTTTAAGTAACAGGCTGATATTGTATGCTCTGCTCAGTTTAATAAGCTGCCAGTAATCACCAATAAAGAATTTTTCAGAGGTTACAGAAGTAACGTTAATGATATGTACAGAGCCAACTTGCCAATATATTAAGATGTTGACTGAAAAGGAACATATTGATGGAGAATATGTATACCGGTGAGAAAATAAATAAATGATATTTCCTTATGGCAAGTAGGACAAACACAGAAAAAACAAGATTACCCAGTGCAAAAAATAAAATAAAATAAAACAAAACAAAAAAACCCAAAATTTAAAAAATCCTCCCTGCCTAAGAATAACTAAGAAAAATATGAATATAAATTAATTAAAACAAATTAGAATGAAAAAAAAAAAGAAAAAAAGTCCTAGAATTTTAGTGCAGATGGAAAACAGATCACCATTACTAAAAGAATCTTTCATTTCTTAAAAGAAGATTGTATAAAATTTGCAGCCACAATATTTTTTAAAGACCAGCAAAAAATTTTTGGTATAACTATAGATAGAAATGGCTCAGGAGAATTCACAGTAGTGCTAAAATTATCTAGATTACATAAGAGGAAGAACACATTTCATAAAAGCATTGTGTAATATTCAACCCTCATGTAACCATCAGTTGTAAGTTGCCATGACAGACACTATTTTTCTTCAATTATTCTATTTCTTAAGCATCAATTCAGGGATCAGTTCAGTTTCTTTCTGACTTTTTCTTCACTCATATGCTCGAGATAGAAGAGAAATTATACATTCAGAAACATGTATTCAAGGGTTCCATTATGGGTTGCTTTAACATTAAACTTTTGTAAATTACTGAGGATGTAGTAATAGTAAAGGACAGCTGAAACAAAAGAGCTGCTTGTATTAACCTTTGCAAGTATATCACTTTCTAGTAAAGAAAATCAAAAGCAAATTAAATTGGAAGCATAATGGTAGGCAAATATAGAAGTAAGCAAACGACAGAAAAAAACGTGTTTCAGTTTGAAATAGTTTGTAGCAAGTAACAATGCTAACTCAAAAGATACTAGAGCTGATAAAAGTAGCAAAACAATTTTACTACATTTTCATTTTGAAGGCATTTGAGAATATCCATTTTTAATCTTAAAATATGCTAATATTTTCTCTTCTGCTTTGTTGGTTTTTTTTTAATCTATCTTTTCTTTCCCATTTCATATTCTTTTCCTCAAAAGTCGAAAAACGTGACCTTGATGGAAGAATCCAGAAATAACAAAAGTGCATGGAATCCAGGTGCAATCTTTCTATACAAAAGGGAATTATGTGTACAAAGGTGTTTGATTAAAGCTTAAAATGGTTATAAAACTTAGTCAAAGTTTCAGCAAAGTTCACAAGATTTATTAAATCACCTATTGGTAAAGAATGCCTGGATGTGACTCTAAAATATATGTAATTATGTTTGTTTGGTTAGTTTATCTGAAAATAGATATAAAGCTGAAACAACCTTAATTTGAAACATATTATATATACTCAGAGAGCAAGAAGGCTGCTTTAAATCTGAAGATAAAATACTCTTTAAACTCAAATACAGTGCTGTCAATCAAATCAAGAGAAATGATAAGACTGAGGCAAGACTTTACACATAACAGAATCAGGTCCTCTGTAGTTAAAAGTCTTGGACACTTTCCACTGCAAAGAACTGGACATAAAATTTACAGCTGCTGTACCTTTTATCTGCTCTCACCTATGTCTCTTTTATTTAAAGTTACCCCTTTTACACCATTATAATTTACTGTGCATAGAACTAGATGCATTAAACAGCTAACAGGTTGGAGTCAGTAGCTGCAAGAGTGTATTGCTATAGAATTTTCTTTTAGATTTATACAACAAGTGTTTAGAAAAGCAGAAAATAAAAATTATTATTATTTAGTAACGTTGGATTTAGAATGGGATAATCCTGGGCAAATGAGTCCTCAGTCAAACATTGTTTCAGATTGCTACGACCATTAAGAGCCATAGCTTTAGCAAGTCAGCTTAGTATCATTAAAGCCAATGTTGTAAAAAAAAAAAAATCTATATATACCTACATGAACGGTTGATATGATTTGTGTATCTGCATGTCTCAAGACAACATTAAAATATACACTCAGCTTTGAAGATGTGTGTCTTTCTTGAGTTATCCCTTTGAACACATCAGCTGGGTCGTAAAAAATAAATTTGTATTATACATCACCTTGCAGCATTTTTAACAATGTAAATGCAAGTGTATTTTAAAAGAAAAAATGTAAGAAGTTATTTCATTTGAATCATATTCTAATGATAAAGGTAAGTAAGGTAAGAAAGGAAGAAAGGGGGAAAGGAAGAATAGAAGAAAGAAATTACACACTAACTTGGCAGCTGACATCCATTCCAGCCTCCAGAAGCACCTGTACAACAGCTTTGTGGCCATTACGTGCAGCGAGATGCAAAGGAGTGTGTTTTCTTGTATTACAGTTCATCAGGTTTGGATATGCTTTGATGATCATTTTTACAACACGCAGACGTCCATAAAGTGCTGCCAGATCCAGAGGTGTTTCTAGTTTGTTGTTCCTTATTGTTGGGTCTGTTAGCTCTTCTAACAGAACAGCAACTACTTCTGAATGACCATATTGAGCGGCACAATGCAGTGCTGTTTCATTTTCATTGTTCTGTTAAAACAAAACAAAAGCTTCAGAAATTCATGTTTAATAACACAAGAAAACTGCTCAGCTTCTATAAATTGCCTCCATGAGATCACTACACAGGCAGGGTTTGCAATATAACGTATGGTAATGTATGTTAAATGCTTCAGAATGACTCCACTAAAATTTTACTAATAATACATTAATACTTCAGCTTTGTGGCCCTTAAGCAGATCAGGTCCCTATGTGTCCACATTGCTCTCAATCCATTTTTAACAACATTCCCCAAAAAACCTTGTTGCTCATGATATGCCGAAATATGTAACCCTTCTTGATTCAACTGTTCCTGAAATCATAGTTGAATCCTTCTCTCAGAAATTCTCTGACACTTATCTTAAGTCTTTCTTCTTAACTGGTTTTAAATTGTAGCAGTTTGTTTTTAGAGAAATTACAGAGAAAAACTGTGTAATGAAAATGCATCAGGCTCATGGCTAGTTTCACATATCACGCTAAAAAGTTACTATCAAGACAACAATCAAAGCTTGGAAGAAGGCACAATAGCAAATGTACATATTAGAAAGACTTAGCATAGCACGTAAGCAGCTAGTCTTCACAGGGCTCCAGGGAGATGTGCGTGTGCATTTTAAGGCATATGAGTACTTGTATGCTGTGGATTGAATAAGTTTTTGCTTTATAAAGCAATGCCCCCCCAAGTCTTTCCCCAAAAACTATTTAATAATCTTAATAATAAATAAATATTGAGAATAAGCAGTATCTTCTTTAATTGTTTTCTTCCAGTTCTGCCTGCATACTTGCAATCCTAAACAGACAAATAACTTCAGGCAGAAAGGAAAGAAATAATTTATAGAGCTCTCTGAATTCTATATGCCATCTATATTATTAATATACCTTATGTAGTCTCTATGAAGCCTTGAAATAGACTAGACACTATAAATTTTAAAAGTATGTACATTGAATGCCTCTTCTGATATATGACTTATAAAATTTTGTGACAGTTTTGAAAATGCTGTAAAAGTAGAAAGCCAATAAGCTAATATGTCATATAAAGAAATAAAAAATTAATGTAACTTCAGAAAAGATACTAGAGAAAGGTAGAAATATAATTCTAAAGAAAGAAGAAGAGATAAATCTGAATCCATAGGCTGTATTTCTTAAGGAAACAACTGAAGAAAGTTCTGGGGACAGAGAACTGAAAATAGAAAAAAAGATTTGTCTTTAGAAAGACAGAAAGGGTGAGAGAATCAGAGAAATGAGGCTTTGGCCTCTTACTCAAAAGCTAGCTAGGATAAGAAAATCCATGTTGCACAGTAATATCTAGAAAGGTGGAACGAGGGAAAACTTTTTTTTTCTTTTTGGTAACAGTGCTTCTAATTCTGTAATCAAGAACTTAAATCTTGGGTTTGTGATTTTAACAACATTGCTGTCATTTTAATGACATCTTGTAATTTAAAACAACTCAGATGAACCTGGGAGACAGAAGAGACAGATCAACACATTCAGGTAAATTAATGTTGCAGATAAACTCCTCAGGTGTCTACAACACTACACAAGATCCCAGAGACTGGAATGTGTTTCCTGCTAAACTGCAAGACGGAAGCTGGAAAGTAGGAAGAGCCAATTCTAGGAAGTTTCCATTGGCAGACATGGCTTGATGACTAATAAGTATTTGAATCATTGTGCATTATTCAGACCATCACGTTGTCTTTCTCTATTACATAGACCATAAATTCAGGTTAATATATGTACTATCACAGTACTACATGGCTGCAATGATCTATCAATTACCTATGATATACTTTTTGTGCTCTAGTGACTTCTAACGTATCCTTTATACAGGACTGGGGAAAGCAATTTTTTATGCACAGTGGTATACCCACAAATCACAAGCTTTATTAGAATTTATTTTTAGATTTTCAGTATTTCATGGACAGAACTGCATAGATGAACAAGCAATTGCAGTCTAATTTTGTGTACGATTACCACAATTAAGTATGAAAATCAGATAATTGCACATAAAATGGTCAATTATGGTAATTTGTGCCTACAGTTACTGTATTTACATATCCAATAGAAATAGTTACACAAAGAAATTAGATATATCACTATATCCACATTCTGTGAGGTAAATACCAAATACACGTTTACTATACAATTGTCAGATATATCTATCTATCCAATACCTGCTTATGTTTGAAATTTTTTCAAGCATTTCTGGATAATATATAAAGCATCTGGAGTCTTGTGCCAATAATCTAATATTGTAGTTTAAAGGTATTCTGATTAAATTTTCAAAGAGACGTAAAAATTAAACTGGCTATGGCCTTTTTCTCAAAATGAGGTGACTGGCCAAAATTTCAGCCACAGATAAAATCACATAGAGGCCAACCAGTCCAAATCACTGCTGCTGTGCAGCAAACTGAAATTTGCTCCCTCTAAATAAAGAATATCCAACTGAATTTTCATGCAAAGGCATATTTACAGAAAAGTATATTTTAAAACAGCATGGTGCATAAAAGCATCTGTAAATGTGAAGAAAATGTTATTATTTTCAAATGAACATTGTTGAATATTTTTGTATGGTTTGTTGCTTTGCATTTGCCAAATTAAAGCTACATTTCAGTTAATGACAAATCAAGCTGATTCAAAATTAAAAAGAACTAGGTACCACTGAAATAAAATAGAAGAATCCAACCTGGACAAACATGATAATTAAATTACCTACATGCAGTCAGAACAGGCATTGTATATATTGTGTTATCAGAGCTGAGAGGTACTACCTAATTAAAACTTAATAATACAACATCCTTCCCTTTTTAAAATGTAAATTAATCAACTTATTTCAGGTATAAAAGAAAGAATGATTTTTAACTTTCAAAGAGAGAATTACAACTTGTTTAACTGCCCTCTAAATTTATCCACTTTGACAATTTAGTACTAGTTACATAAAACAAGTCACCTTGGAAGCAAGAGGTTTTACTGAGGAGAGAGCATAGTTTTTAAGTAGGTTTTGACAGCGTCTGACATCTTCAAATTTAGGAAAAGAGGGAATGCCTACCAGCTAGACACAGTTAGTTCAGCATTCCCAGAGAGAACCCTAAGATGGAGGAGGCTGTAACAGTGCCTAATGTATTGCCTGGACTGGAAGAAACATTATCTTCTTCCTCTTACCCCTCATGGAAAGATGGACACGGATGTCTCAGTGTTACGAACTTCCTCCTTCAGGCATTTGTTTATAGAAGACATACAGTAAGAATGAAAAAAAAAAAAAACCCAAACACAACATATGATGATATTTTAAGAGTTGAAGTTATGTGATTTCCTTGGTCCCAAAAACGCTGTTACTTCTGACTTGTCTTCTGTGTGGATAAAGCTAACCCAGGTGTAACTCTACTGATTTTAAGGTACTGTTTGTCCTCATATCTCTAAAATAGCTTATTACTTCGAAGAAATATTTGAAAGACACGAAAAATTATTCTTGAAGAAATTAATAATAATTTAGTACTATTGCCTACATTTTCAGTCCCAAATGTAAACAGTTGTTTCTGGAGTACAGAAAGTTTTTACGCTAACACTCATTGCCATGAACAGTTAACCTGCTATGAAAATACAAATGTCTGCATGCATGTTACCATTGTGTGATTAGATCTTCAAATCTGATGTCCAAGGGCTAATAAGGCATCTAGCGCTCAAGAAACAGACTAGAATGCTTTTAGAAATTTCAGATACTTCATTACATGTTAGAAACTACAAGATAGATCCTAAGACTGAATGAGTAAAGAAAAAGAAGGATCTAGAAATCAGAACCAGGTAAGACATACAAAACGTAAGACAAAAAGAGAAGAGTAGACCAATATTATGCAAAAATAGTATAAAACAGAAGTCCCTAATATTCATAATTAATAATATTTTAAACATGCAGTTATTCATATGGCCCAATGGACCTCTTTCAGAAATAAGGAAGGTATCTTATGATTCAGCTTTTAACCTTTTGTAATTTTCCTCTTCATTATTTGTTACATGGGTCTCTTCATGGGCACGATCCTGACATTTTCTAGCCTTTCTCTGAATCTGTTCTCTTCCACATACAGCCAGAACTCAGACTTCTGTTGCTGCAAACTGATTGTGCCTTCACAGCATTGCATCTTGTCAGTACTGCAGGCTGTACTACATCATTTAGCTACTGAGAATGCATGCCACCACAAAAGCTATAATGTCTCTTAAGGTCTATTCATTGGAGGACAGATTAGCAAGTATGTTATGGGGACAATCATTGTAGCTTGGCAGTCTGATAGAGGTACAGAAAATACCAAGAGAATGAATTCCTCTCATGAATATTATATAGGTCCTTGTAAAGACACTATTACACAGTGGGTATATTTAGGACTTATACTGCATAGTTGTGTAGTTTAAAGCTCCTAAAGTCCATGCAAGTACTGTACAAGCAACAATGACTATCAAGTAGATAGACCTTTCCAAAGAATGCTCAACTCTTTTATTATCTAAGCATTTTTATGATGAACTTGAAAAGGAAGACTTCCTAAATCACTGAGCCATTTCTTTGTCACATAAGCCCAATGTCAAGTAACTGAACAAGACAATATATCCAAGACAGAGAAAGGAATGATCTCAGGATGGTCTTACTTCATCTATTAAAATAGGAAGGCAGTTTCCTGAGAAGTTCCACCAATATAAGTTAATAATTCTGAAAAAAATAAGGAAGTTTGCCTGAATGATTCAGCAAGTAGCATGTCACTGTATTTAATTACAATGGGAATTAAAGTGCTTTCCTGGATGTCTAGGGCAAAGGCTGAACAATGTTACAATAGAACCACTAAACACAGCCAAGAATGAGGAGAGCTCTTGGGAACAACATTGTGACTTTATTGTCCATTCTCTTTGAGGCAGGGAATGGGTTTTTACATGGTGCATGGATTTTTACAGTTTACGTGGAAAAACAGCTAATGACATCCTTCTTATCACGTCATCAATGAACCTGTCTAATTTGAAAGTCATGAAAGAAATAAAAAGCCCATAAATTTCCTTATCAAATGCTTTCTTAAACTGCATAAAAAGAAGCGCGGCCAGCAGGTTGAGAGAGGTGATTCTCATCATCTACTCTGCTCTTGTGAGATCCCACCTGAAGTACTGCATCCAGCTCTGGGGTCCCCCGCACAAGGACTACATGGACCTGTTAGAGCAGGTCCAGAGGAAGGCTGTGAAAATGATCAGAGGCCTGGAACACTTCTCCTATGAAGAATAACTGAGAAAGCTGGGGTCATTCAGCCTGGAAAAGAGAAGGCTCTGGGGAGACCTTATTGCAGCCTTTCAATATATAAAGGGGGCTTGTAAGAAAGACGGAGACTTTTTACCAGGGCCTGTAGTGACAGGACAAGGGGCAATGGTTTTAAACCGAAAGAGGGTAGATTCAGACTGGATATAAGGAAAACATTTTTTATGATGAGGGTGGTCAGATTTTGGAACAGGTTGCCCGGAGAAATTGTGGATGCTCCATTATTGAAAGTGTTCAAGGTCAGGTTGGAGAAGACTTTGAGCAATCTGATCTAGTAAAAGATGTCCCTGTCCACGGCAAGCGGGTTGGACTAGATGATCTCTGAAGGTCCCTTCTGACCCAAATCATTCTATGATTCTGTGATTCTATGAACATGTTCTAATGAGTATCTTTACCATACAAGAACAATATGATGACAAATAAAGATGCCATTGTCCCATAAGTTACAGAATACTTGGATTTAGATAGTAATATTTTTCAAAAAGACAATTTTTGTAAAAGTTATTGGGAAAAATTCTGCTGCAAATTACCCAGTGTGAATCAAAATCAAACCTACTGAACTCCCATTGAAATTAACCTTTACTTATGTGAAATCAAAATTTAAAAGTAATTCTATAATTTGTTGACTACTTTGAATAAAGGTTTTCTTCAAATTTATTGCTGCAATCGGCTCAAATCAAAAAGATTGCCTCTGCACATTTTTTTTCTTCTATAAAGGGTACAATAAAAGTTACAATTTAAGGGGAGGGGGGGAACATCAAATGCAGAACATGAAAATGATTGTTTTTGCAGGCTACCTTGGAACTGAATTGTACTTCTGGAAGTCCCTGAGGTGTCACTGAGAGAAGCGTATAATGTCTGTGCTTCATTTTGATGATTTGGGGAAGACAGTAAATATGTTAGCTGTTAGGTATTTACATACTATGAACGCATCCTGAACTCTTTTCCTTCACATTTCAGAAGAAGTGTCAAATGGCATTAAGGAAATGTGAGTGGTTTTTATGACAATTACAATTTGATGCACAGAAAAATTCTACAGTACATTAAATACATAAATGTAAGGAAAAAGACATGCTATGTGCATAAAGAAAAACAGGCAGAATCACAAAACAGAGAACATCATTGAGAAATTTCAGAATTGTTCACATTTTTTCCTGTCAATGTTTTACTACTCATATTCTGTCAATATATATTAAAAATACATTTTGAACTTGATATTTATTCCTGATGTCATTCACCTTTTTTGCATGTGATTTCCTGCACTAATACCAGGCACTACATATTGACCTATATATGGCTGTTATTTATTATTAATTTTTTCATAGATTAGGATTTCTTATCAATTATGTAATTTTATGCTGAGAGTTGCCATAATAAATGTTTGTGCTACCCAGATGTCTTTACATAAACATGTAAGTAGTCTGACTGTTAACAGCACACCTTTTTATTATATTTGGTATTAACCTACTAACAAATCTTGATCTCATAGTACCTACTTGATCTTCATTTAATTTATAATTTACATATTTTCAAGTCTTCATCAATGAAGTTTAAACACTTACATGTTTTGTAATTTCACCATATTTTGTAATTTCAAACATTCATCATGGATGTCAACTAAGACACCTGTATTAAACAGTGATAGAATTATTCTTACATAATTGTTATGCTGTAACCATTTTCTGTGTGTAGAGTTGCCAGTCTACATGCCACCACTCCCATAAAATAATTGTCATTTAACTGTTCGCCTCTTTACTGTTTTTTTCAATTTTATGTAATAGGAACAGTAGGGGGCATTCAGAGCTTTAGATGCTGGATATGGCTGGATATGATCCTATGATGCTAGTTAACTGCATTTTAAATGTGTAGAATGCAGTTCAATTAATTTACAGTATACCATATTAAATCCATTAATTCATGTAGGATACATTTATGCATCATGAGCTTCTCATTTACTTCTTTGTTGTGTTGTTCATTACTTTCACTTAAGTTTTTAGAAGCATTTCTTTTACATGGAATTTTAATAAAATAGATGAAAACCAAAGATGTATTACAAATTAGTTGCAACAATTTTTAAATAATGAACAAAATTATTTTCTTAAACTGAAAGCACATACATTCTTAATGTGATCTTTACTAAAAAAAAAAAAAAAAAACCAAACCAAAAACCAAACAACAAAAAAACCCCAAACCAAAACCAGGAAAAAAAGTCTGACTTGAGTATATTATTTGCTGTGGGCAAAAAGTGTCAGGAAAAATACCTATCCTTCTCCCCAATTCTCAGATGAAAAAAGAAGGAAGAAAAATAGCCCAGGATTTCTTATAAGCTGTAGCTTCAGCTCCACAGATCTGAGAGAAGATATGAGAGCTATGAGAAGCCAACTGCCTTATACAGCCTATCAGCAAATAAGCAAAAGCCTCAGAAACGTATAGACTCATAAGAATGTACAATAGTTACGAGGGTGAGGATGCCACTCTCGTGTTATTTGAGGATATGTGGGTGGAAATGACTTTATATCAGCATGGTATTTCCCTCATTCCATGATATGGATAATATTCTCCTGTGTAGAGTGCTAATTAGCATGGGAAATTTGGTGCCAGCAAAGTGGCCCACCTACTAAAGCTGGCCACTGCCTAGAGTGGAACACCACTGGATTTACAAAGTCAGAAGAACTATGTATGTATGAGTTTAACTTCAAAGTTTAATATATCCAACATTTCTTGTGAGGATTGCTCACACATTTTCCATTATAAATTTTTTGGGTAAAATGCATAAACAGCAGGTGATCTAATGACAAGACCTTTTTTTAGTCAGTGGGGTACAGAATCAGATGCTTATTTTCTCCAGCGATCAAACCAGAGAAACTGGACAGCACGCCTAATCAACCTCGAGAATATTCTAGAAGTTTGGATGTGTATGTGGGATTCGGAAGAAGTAGGTTTGAATTTACATTTCTCTTTCTGATCTTACTGAAATATCTTTTTCACTATCCCTCTCTGAAGTTTCTGCATAGCTTCCAGTTTTCTGTCAGTAGAGTACAAGGAATCTCTTCAAGCAAATGGATAACATAGAATCAGAAAGCTGCTTTTTTATTTCGTTGCAGAAATAAAACTGAAAAAAACCTTCTCCTTGACAAAAGGTAATCCTGCAATTCAACTGGTTTCATCCTACATGCAACAGCTGATGAGAATGAGAAACTCGGAGAAACTCCTAATCTGCAACTCAGACCACAGAATGACAAGTCTTGGTTTTTGTATTTTTTCCTGGATGACCCAGGGTATTACCGGATTTCCCAGAAGACTGTCACGTGGGCATATTTTATTACTTTATTTTCCTATATTTCCTGCACTAATACTTGATATTCGTATTATATTTATTGTATGGATTCCAAAGACTAAGTGTATAACCTCAAATGTAAATGGATTATTCAAGGAATGGCATCTCAAAATGGTTAAGTGTTTGCAGTTTAGGTCTAACATTTCTTATTTTCTCACAGTTTGCCTTCCGGACACACTAACATAGACACTGAGAGTGCAATTCATTTGCTAGATTGTACTTTGCCATTTGAGGTGCTGTAGAGTACCCTACCTGGAGTCCATCAGCCACTCCACAAGGACATTGAAATTTTGAGCATCCTCTGTCATACCTTCAGGCCTATGCAGATGTCTCAGTTACTGTAGGGCCTTAGAAGATACTGGATTTCTGTGTTTGGGGAAATGAATCCTGCCTTACTTTTGGCCAACCCTGTTGGCTCCTGTGATTACACTGACTAGACCTCTGTGGAATAAAATGGTGCATATACAGGCAATGTAGACACTAAAATTTAGATCTGAATCTGGAGCTGACTCCCACCTTTACATTCCAGTAACTTCCTGATTACCCTGGCAAATTCAATAGCTTATAGTCACTAGTCATATTTCACAGCCTACTTCCAGTCCTCAAGAAGTTCAGCTGACTATAGATAGTGTCAGATTTTAATCGCGTTCTTTCTTTCTATTTCTAAATACTAACCCTACAAATGGACCATATAAGAATATACAGAATGAAAACAGAAGGTGTGCCATATGCTTCACAACAGAATGCAACATATTTATCCTGCCCTTACCCACTGTAATACTCTCACCATTTTTTCCTAGTATTTATGTGTCCTTTCTGCTGCACATGCTTACATGCAGTCCATCTGGTTTGTCATTTATCTCTGCATATCAGTTCATTTACAGTACACTCAAAATATACCACGAATATTAATTTTATCTCAAACTTTTTCAGGAATTTAATATCTAATAAAGTTAAAAAGATAAAGAGTTTATGCAAATTTACATCACTATATATAGAATGCATAGTTAGAATACGTCTTCATACAATTTTTCAGAAACAAGCAGAAGGTTCTCTCATACTTTTAAAATCTAATTTCCTTTAGGTCAGTGTCCATCCAGAAGAAAGATACCTGGTATGCTTATATTGAAAGATTTTATCAGTCTTGGAGAAGAAATTACTGAAACAATGGAAAATAGATTATTTTTTTTTTAAATTTGGCTATAAATTTGCCAGATCTAAAGAATATATGCTTCTCTTTTCTGATGATGTACATAGATATTTTTTATCACTTCACCTGTTCATTCACTCTGGAGTGTGATGGCCCATGATGGATGAGAATCTTCACAATGTCTACATCTCCTCTCCAAGCAGCCAAGTGAATAGGAAAATAACCTTTATTATCTGCCACATTCGTTGATGCTTCATACTGAAGTAATTTGAGAACTATATCCCTGGAAAACAGGAATTAAATCTAAAAATTGACAGGAAGTTTATTTTATTAAGTTTTTACATGAACATACATATTATAATTTTTTTTACCCTGAAAAACAGAAAAAAAAAAATTTCAAGTGAAAACTGCTACAAAAATGAAGACCAATAATTTCTAAAAATGAAATAGATAGTAAAACATAGCCAAAATGTTATTCATTGTAATGATTCTTACTTCTTATTAATACCTGTCAACAATATTATCATCAGCTCTATGAATCTGTTTATTTCAATGGGATCACCTGGCCATGGAATCATTTTTTGAATTTGCCAGTCAAGGCCACATGCATGTCCCTCAAGAGAAACCTTCCAGGTACTAAAGGCAGAGAAGTACTCCTATCCCCATCATTGCTGAGTTCTGGAGGCAAGGAGATGAGAGGGTAGCTTTATGGACACAGTTCTTGCAGTAAGGCTTAAAAGCAACAGGTTTTCTTCTTCTTTAAGGCATTATGTCAAAGAGTTCTTTTGGAGGAAACAATTTAATGATGATCTAGTTAGAGATATACTATCTTCTCTGGAATAACTGCTTCTATTTTCATTTCCCACACCCAGCTTCCTGAGAGCAGTGAAGAAAAAAGTGATTTTATTATTTTAGTTCTTATTATATTCCTTTCAGTATTTTCAGAGTGGCTTATCACACATTAATTGAAAGATTAGTATAAGCTGGTATATTGCATGCCTGATTTTTAAACAGTCTCCTGTACTTAACTTCAAAGGTTAAACTTAAAAATCAGCTGTGTGGTATGACCATTGGTTATCAAGTAGGTCAAAAAGTAAATAAATTCTGTCTTATCTCTCCATTTGTCTTCTCATAGTTTCACACAGTCAGGCCTTGTTAGTTATTAAGTTTAATAGCATCTATGATCCAGTGTGGGCAGTTCCATGCACATTTTTGCTGAATATGGAAACACTGGCTCTTACCAATTTTGCTCAAAAAATCGGGGGCGGGTGGGCCTGAAAGGAACTCAGTGCAGCCTATGTTATGACTATAAATGAAGGCCTTGACTACAAATTAAGACAGAAGGCAAATCCCGAGGCAATTGTTCTCCCAACCTTGATGGAACCTTATTTAATTGCCTGTTGAGAAAAAAATGTGGCAAGTAAGAGTGAATATATCCAGGTCAAAACAAACTCCCAATTGTCTCCAAAAGAAATCATAGACATACTGGAGTCATCACATCTAAGCTTTGAGGGAGACTTTAAGCTGGATTTTGCTTACTCCTGACAATGTCAAATAACATGAAAACAACCAAGAAAGAGCAGCTCCACTACACAGTGATTTTTGCTACACCAAAAGTTCCAGAAAAGTGACTCCCGAGACTTTTCAGTGCAACTAAGGTTTGAGAGACTTTTTGTGTCATAATAGTGGGTCTTGCAGTAGATGGTCTAATGAAGGCTAGAGATACAGAGTAGTTTGAAAGGGATACAAATCAAAGGAAACAGAAATTGAAATATGTAGGGGAAAAACAGCAAAAAAACCCTCCACAACTGAAATCTATAGATAATGATGTACAGCAACTATTGGGAAGAGTCTGTTGCAAGATTCAAGCTACAAAATAGAACCTAGGTCTCCTTCATCCTTCAATAATGTCCTGACCCATCACACTTCTCTAGGGTGAGTCTTTTTTAGTGCTCTGTCAGAACTTTTCCATTTTGTAGAAATAAATTTCAGAGACAAGACTGAGAGTCCTTAGCCCAGTAACATTACTGGGCTAAGTAAAATTACTTAGAAAGACTGAGATTCAAGTCCCTGCCCCAGATATGATTTAATTACTTATATAAAGCAGAACAGTTTCAAAAGGAAAGAGAACTATCCCAGAATAACCAAGGAGGAGGGAATTCATCACATACACTGATCAAGCAGGGACTTGAACACTAGTGTCCAACAAGTGTCCCAGCCACAAATTATTGATTAGGTCATTAAGTCTTATGTTCTCACTTTTCCTGTAAAACTTCGAAATCTCTCAAGTCCATCCCAATGTAAAGTGTGAAAAATTAAAACCTCAAAAGTTTTCAAAGGACAAGAACTTCTCTTAAGTGGGAAGCCTCTCATGTCAACAGACTGTACCCAATATTGATTTTGAATATCAAGTTTCAAAACTGAAACAGAGTGTAAAGCTATTAATTTGTTATTTGTGGTGACAGTGGCTGTTATGACCTTTTCAAAAGCTGCAGTTATATCGGCTGCTGTACATACGTCCACATCTTGAAGTTCTCTCTGACTTCAGCAGAAGTTTGGCCTGAAAATGCTGAAAATGCTATTTGGCTTTTGTATGTTTGGGGATTTTATAGTTTATATTGCTAGGATTCACTTGAAATCTCCAATAGATTCAATGTTTTTATAAAAATACTTTTACTTTTCTGGGTAACTATTGGTTTATAGTCAGTATTAAACATACTAAAGCCAGTTTTCATCTATTTAAAACTAGCAATCTTTGCACGCTAAGGCTTGGGCTTCTGTCAGTCAAAAATGTGCAATGGCACAAGAAACAATCCATAAACTACAAACAAGAGAAATGTGATTTTCTCTCTCTTTAAAAAATGCTGAGTTTAATAGACCATATTAAGGACTTAGACCTAATTCTATGGAGGTAAAATATATTAATGGATGATTCTGAATCTTGCTACAGCACTGAAATTTTGAGAAATGCACAATATATAGCTTAACAGTATTTTAACTTCATTTATTTTTTCAGAAACAGAATATCCTATATTCACCAAAAGATTAATCTGGTCTGAAGAAAATATGCAGGTTTCTAGAATACAATTAAAGACACATGCTAAAGTTTTAATTTTTCCAAGGAAGGATACAAAAATTGTGAAATGAGTAAACCAAACATATAATTATTATGGATTTATATGTTATCTTACGGACAGTCCAAAATCACATTAACGTTAGTGCAAATCACTCTCAGTTTCAGTTGGTTTTTGATCAGTTCCTTATCTCCCACAGAGGAATAACCCAAAGCCTTACGTCAAAATTTTCCTCAGTGAAAATCCGGACAGTGTTAACACCATCAGTGTACAAACAAGGTAGCCGGACTGCATTAAGTGGGGCAGCTCTTACCTTGGTTACAGTGGGGTCCATCCCACTAGGACTTTATAGACCTCATTAAAATCTTTCTTTCTTGTTCTGCCTTAATAACAACATGCAGTTGGCAGCATAATACAATGGAGGTAACGTAGCAAGGGGCAACATGTCATAACAGAGGTAACAGAACAAATTACGAGGTGTAATAACAAAATATGTAGCAAGTTTCCAGTTTTTTACTGACACGTCAATGTGCTTAAGAGTTCACCTACACTGGTATGCCTGCGCAGTACTCCTCAGTGGGGATTTTTCAGGCTTTCCCCAAGCTTGTTGAGACATGCATGTGGTAACTTGGATGGACAGCAGGGAGGGAAAAGCTACAAGGTCCCATACAATTTTTCTGCTTTCAAGTGTATAACTACTAAATATTCTTGTCATGCTACTTTTACTTTGATAATGATTAATCTATACTGTTCTTTTGTTCCACGATATTGTTTCCTTAAACATTCAACACACTCTACATTTGTACCTACACACAAAAGTATATTACAAAATTTTCTGTTGTAATTTCCCACCAGCTACAAAGCACTAGAGCCACCACTAGCAATAACAATAATAAATTTACTCAAAATTAAGCAAGAATTTGGAAGAACCAGTATAGAATCAATAACTTCTAAACTGCATTTCACATTTTGTATTATTACATGCTGATATCAATGACAGTGTCAAAAATTCTTATATTAATATATCCCATGGGAAATAAGATCATTTTAGTAAGACAGGGTTTGTCAATTTTCTGTGAAAATCTCAGTGCTATGTTACATATTTTTAAGTTACGCAGTTAAATACCATTCTACATAAAAACTAAATGTGAGGCACTTACTTGTGTCCATTTAAAGCTGCATGATGTAAAGCAGTATAACCTGAACTGTCTGTGCAGTTTATATTGGGTCCTCGCCAGATGCTGCAAATAAAGCACAATTGTAAAGTTATTTTTTTGGCTTGGCAAGTACAGAAATGTCATAAATCTGATGTATATATAATCTAAAGATCAATTCAACAAGTGTGATTAAACTTTAAGAGACAAATTATCTTGAAAAGAACTTAAAATGTCATGTTGATATCAATATAATTTATTTATAAAAATAATTTTACACATTCATCTTTATGGCAGTCCTGAACTTTATGTAGGGCAGTCTCAAAGACTAATAACTATTCTGTCATTTCAATTAGATCTGTTCTCCCAGTATTACTGTGGTAATTACACTGAGGTTATAATCTGATTTTGCACTACTTTTTTCACAAGTATATATTCATTGACGTTAGGTCAGTTAGTCTAGATTCATACAAGCGTAAGATTAGTGAGACCCAATCATATCCTTTAAAGAGACAGTAAATTTATTCTTTTTACTTGGCCTGATATTTTAGCTCCCATTTTAACCAATTATATTTTTAAATAAATTATATATATGTATATAAAAGAAAAGTTTAATAAATGATGTTTCTTTTCTTTTTGTTATCTTTCTGTATTTTACAGCACTTATTTTACAGTCAGCTTCATTATATGTCCCATGTAACCAGCTTCATGATCTATTATGGACTCTTCACAAAACAGTAAAGGAGATTTTTTGTTTTTTTAACCAATTATATTTTTAAATAAATTATATATATGTATATAAAAGAAAAGTTTAATAAATGATGTTTCTTTTCTTTTTGTTATCTTTCTGTATTTTACAGCACTTATTTTACAGTCAGCTTCATTATATGTCCCATGTAACCAGCTTCATGATCTATTATGGACTCTTCACAAAACAGTAAAGGAGATTTTTTGTTTCAAAGTAGAAAAATGTGATAGCTAATCTACAAAAAAAAAAACTCAAAACAACCAAAAAACACCAAAGCGCAGAAATTGGATACCAGAGACATATTGAGTATCTGCAGGTTTTTTGCTAACTGACTACATGTGAAGCTGACTGTATCCTTTGTGGAAGCAATTTTCTACCTTTTTGTTATTCTCTAGCACTGTTTTCAATCATTAGTATTAGAACTTCTAGGACACAAGATTATGAGTCCTGAATTACATTCTGTTTTCTTCAGCTTCTAATACAGTGTTAAACAGTCATTGGCAAGCAATATTTTCTCTTCACTTCATACCTTAGAATCAAGTGCTGCATTTTAAAGAAAATAATCTGAAGCTAATAGGTAAAAAGAGTTTTTCATACTGACATTTTTCATTATCTACATAAATAAAATGGCATGTTATGCTTACCATATGCTTTTTAAGAATTCTTTACTACTGAATCTGTATTTTATTACCAATGGAATACTGGTGTTGCAGACTGGTCTCTTTTCCATTGTGTATATTTGAATGATTAATTAGCTCATAAATTTAAAAAGTTGTTTTCCCATAAGTAATACTGCATGCATACAGAATTATTTGTGTGACACATTGTGTTCTGCAGTGAGCGTAATTCTACATAGTGCTGGCTACCTCACCTCTCCCTGCAATTTAATTTCTTGGAAGAACAGGACTGAAATATTTTCTCAGGTGCAGAGAAGCAAAAAATGAAGTAATCTGTTTTTTAATCTGCTCAGAAGTCTACAGATATTCTTTTCTACAGAAGGCAACTTCCAGCTATGAAAGTCACTCTAATCTTTCCAATTAAAAGAAATTATTTTAACTTCATGAATGATAGCTCTTCCATAATAGACAGATGTTATTTATATGGCAAAGACAGGCTGTCCTTATCTGTTGGAAGGAAAGAAGTCCTTATCTATCGATACTCTACAACCTCTTTTATACTTTTGCATAATACTTTATTAGTTGTTTTCTTATTTATTGGATTCTACTATCTTCCTTTGATTTGTACCAGATTATAGGAGAATGAAGCAGAAAATTGAAAGTGGTATAGAAAGTCATATTTTAAATATTAAAATAAATACATAAACAACCAGAATATTAATTTCTTGGTTTTGCTTGCTTGCTTTGGTTTACAGTTGTTAGGATTTGTCTGTTAGTTGTTTTTTTCAAAATGCAAGGGATCCATGAGTTCATATATCATTCATGATGCATTAGACCTTTAAAAAAATTAATTAAAAAACCCCAAAACCAAAAATACCCAAAACCTAGTTCTTTTCTCCCATAATTTTCTCCTTTAATCCAAGCACTCTTCCTGACTCTGGTCTTAGGAAATTTTTTTTTACTGAGATTTTTTTTGAAAACTGAAACTTTATTAATGAGTATATAAATGCACCTATGTGAAGCTTCTCAGGACACTCAGGTTGGGAGACAAAGGACAAAGGAGAGCAAGTAAATCCTGATGACTCAAAGAGATGAGACAGGATGGACAGACTAATCACTGTCAGCTCCCAAACAGTACAGAAAGACATGCTTAAAATCAGAACTTGGTTATCAAGCTAAAGAACACAGGAGACATGAGCAGGACTTGGCTGCAGGCATTTCTTTTCCCTTGGGCCAGTGCAGAAATCCCCTCCTAGGAGGTCTTGCATTGCTACAGTATTGCAAAATTATTTCCTACAAAATGAATGCACATTCAGTAGATACACTGGATATTTATGTTTTAATAACCGACAATCAAATTCAAATTGGACAGTCTGCAAATAGATATTTTTATCTAAAAGTCCCAGCTGTGGTGAATAGTTCATCTAAAGCTCTTCTCTGGTATCAGAATACAGTAAGGCAAAAGTATAGTGGTGTATTAGCTCTGTAAAAAAGCATCTAATTTCATACAAAAGTGGGGTGGAGAAAGAGAAAAAGCCTAGAGAGCCCTTCTTTGGCATTGTAAACATAAAATAAATGAGCAATTATCAAACATATTGATTCATCTGTGTATTAAAACACTTCAACAGTTACTGTGAAAGCAACAGTAAGGAGAGCTTGGAACAAAACAAATTACCATTCAACCTCCAGAAAAGAAGATTTTGACAGAAGATTAGCAGCTCTTTAGATTACCGTTAATATTGAAAGTTCTCAAAAACATGTTTCTCCTAATTCTTTGATGCAGTCAATAATCAAGCTTCTTAATTTTACACACATTAGTAAGTTAGGATTTTTTTTCCTATGTACATCAGTAAATTAGGAAAATCTTTCTATCACTTAATGAATTTTAAGAAAGTAATTTAACCTACTTTTTGTGCAAAAAATCAGTTTTCAGTCACTGATGAATTAAAGCTCTGAATAAAACATGATCATCAATTAGTTTCTTCCATTGTAAAACTTGCCAAAGTGAGGCACAAAGAAACTGAAGTCTGTCATGCTACTTACACTATTGCCAAAAGCAGAAAGACCTTATTACAGTTTGCTCTCACTGTGGACAAAGAATATTGACTTTTTGAACTCATGTCAAATATTAACTGGAAATACCCTTTACTTGGTAAGAAAATAATCTTTTTTTCTTTTTTATGAGGTGAAGATAATTATATATAAAGAGTAGAATTTCAAAAGTGATACGAAAATGACAGACAAAAGAAAAAGACAGTTAGTTGATTGATTTGTTATTTTGCCATGCTTTTTGCTATACGCAAAAAAATAACCGTGAACTGGCTGTTGTTACACCCATATGAACACAAAAGCAAGGAAATCAGAAGTTAATTCAGCTAATCTTCATCAGACAGGCACACTCCCTATCAACAGTACAAGAACCATGCATACATGCACAGAATGTCTGTTTCCATCATATTTCCCCTCTGTACATATACTTTCATTATATTATTTCATTATTTCATTATCCATGCATTAATATTTATGGTCTTTATGGTAGTTTTGCCAAGGTGAAAATAAAAAAATTCTGGTAAAACAATGATAAGAGTCTTTAAAAGCCATAGAAAGCCACCTGATGACATCAGTGTCTGTCTGCCCATTGGTTTCACTTAAACCTTATCTGACAACTGACTGGTAAGTCTCTTTCTTTGGAATTTATTTCTTCCCTGTAAGGAAGTGGCAAGGAAGAGGATGACACTGTCTGGATGGAATCAGTTCCTCCAGAGGAGATGGACAGACCACAGTGTTATGCCTGCATATTTTAGGGTCTAAACCCTGTTGAGGGATGAGAGAGGTTTAGCATATGCCTAATCCTCACCCGCCCCACTCCTCTCCCCACCTTCTTTCCCAGGCCTTCAATATCTTTGGAAGCTCTTCCTAGAGACCCCCTGGCTCTTCAGGACTATAGAAGTAGTGAATTTCATCTTGCCAGGTCAGTTTTACTAGCGAGAAATCCTAAGCTTCATCCTGTTCCCATTGATGTCAGTGGCAAACACCAAGCAGCTCAGATAAATCTAGTTTCCTTATTGTTTCTGTGTTCCATAGAATAAATACGTATTACAGAAATTTGTGTTGTTCTGAGCCACAGTCTTCCAAAATTTCCATGTTTATTGCTGTTAATCTGACAGGAACACATTGCCTAAAGTTATTAGAGCACATAGCCAGTCTCCTATATGCATTAGTGCTCTGCCTACATTCATAAACATTTTCAGTCATGTAAACTGAGCTTATACAAAATATATGGACATTTTTACAGAGCATTTTTGAAAATGCACACTTTTACACAATAATATGTATCATCGGTTATTCAAACACAAAATAGTAATGTTACTTATTGTGAACAGCAGCAAAATAGCTCCCATTCTCTGTTTTATGTACAAATAAATCAAATTGACAACTATGTTACTCTAACCTGTATAAATTAATAATGTTACTTATCAAATATAGAAGTGTTTCATTTTAGTAAATGTGATACTTTTCTCTTTCTACAGATTCCTCTCTGATGGAATCCAGTGTTATATAAGATATATTATCCTGCAAGAAGTATGTATGTCTTTTTCATGTATGATTTTACCTATTATTTACACTGCTTTGCTGAATGTGAGATACATTTTCAAATTTTTTCAAGGAAAGTAAATATTTGCCTTTAGAGACAGTGGGAAAAAAACTTCTAGAAAGTCACA